GTACCCACCCATCCATAGCCCCTTCTGAGTCACCCAACCCCACTGGCTGGCCCTGCTCAGGGGGACCTCCCTTGTGCAGCTGGCAGCAGCTGACTCCTCCCCAGGCACCACTCCCTGGACCAGGCAGCCCTCCAGCACCCAAGGCTAGTCCCCAGCCCACTGGTCAGTGCCTGGGAGGTGGTATGAGGGGGAGGAGCTCAGGCACATTCTCTGAGGGGGGTGCTGGGAAAGGGAGAGTACAGGGCAGGTAAGGCTGGGTGGGCCCCTGCTGTTGGGGGAGAGTACAGATGCAACTGACAGTGCAGAGCAACCGCCAAATTGAAGCGGAAGGCCAAGAGCCCTGGTGTGCAACCGGATCCTGCTAGAGCACAGACCATGGCTCCCTTTGCCCAGGGATCCCACAGATTCCTGTTTCCCACCACCCACTCAACTTCAAGTCAGCCTGCTGCCAGCTAAAGTCACCCTGAGAACCCAACTAAAACAGCCAGTCATTCTAGTGCCAATCACAGATGGCAAACAGTACAATTAGCTGGGTGTGGTGGCACGTGCCTGTAGTCCCAGCTACTTTGGGGGCTGTAGTGGGAAGATCACTTGAGCCCAGAAGCTCCCTGATGCAGTGAGTCAAGATTGAGCCACTGTACCCCAACTGGGTGAAAAAGTGAGGCCCTATCTCAAAATAAAATAAAATAAGCTGCTCTGTCCTATTCTCAAGTCCCTGAGGCATGGCCTCAGAACCAGAGCTTTAAACAGGAGTTTTATACCCGCAGGCCAGACAACACATGGACTCAATTACCATATTGCCTTCTGTGTGAATCTTCCAGAAACAATAACTAAACTGGCAGGGACTAACAATCCAAAACAAGGAGCTACCATCTGCCAAGTGCGGGAGCAGGCCAGGCTCCAGACTTTGCACACTCTCACGAGCAGGGCCCCGCCGGCACCAGGCCTGCTGGCTCCTTCCACCAAGGGCCATGCCTCTCAGCCCTTAAGTGCTTCTCCTAACAGTTTCCAGACTGAACTTCTTCTATATGATATGCCCACTCTCCATGTCTTCCCAAACAGTGTACACAAGTCAGAACCATTGGTTTATCCATTCAGAGCTGCAGACTGATGCAAGCCAGCACTCCCCGGGGCCTGCAGACTCTTGCTTCACCCCCACTGAGGACGCACACTGTTAGGCTTTGAGTTCCCCTATCTGTGCTGGTTTTTATTTCCTTGTCTCTTTTGTCATCAGTGTAATTACTTGAGGAAGTAAAGAAAGAACACATACATTCCCATGAAAGGATAGACTAAGTCAAGTTGGTATTTGTGAACATGAATGATAAAAGGCAAAAACTTCTATCTGAAATGTAGCACTCCAATTATGAGGGCAGACAAGAAGCCTGACAGTTTTAGCAAGAACAGCAACAGGATTTTCCAAGGCATGAGAGTATCACAAAAATCTCATCACTCCTCCCAAAGGGATTACCAGAACCAGTGCTCAATCTGGTTACCTAGCTAACCAATGGGACTATCACCAATTTGGTTCAATACAGTATTTGATAACTGTATTTCAACATAATGGGTTCTCTTCTTAAAATATTTATTTCCTTTAAAAGGTTGTTTTAAGAGGCCCCCAGAGGCCAAGCAGACATGAAAATTTAAGGCACTCCCCCTCTCCCACCAGGGTCCATACTTTGTATCACTTTAGCAGTTTCAGGCTTTCCTTCTAAACAGTTTCAGACAGTTTTAACAATTTGCAACAAAAATGTAAGCTACAAATAGGATGTTACTTATCCTTAGTAGCAACTTTCTATTTCTGCTATTAACTAGTTTTTTTTTTTTTTTTTTTTTTTTTTGGACATGGAGTCTTGCTCTGTCGCCCAGGCTGGAGTGCAGTAGCATGATCTCTGCTCACCGCAACCTCCACCTCCTGGGTTCAAGCGATTCTCCTGCCTTGGCTTCCCGAGCAGCTGGTATTACAGGTGCCTGCCATTATATCCTATTAATTTTGTATTTTTAGTAAAGACAGGTGTTGACCACATTGGCCAGGCTGGTCTCGAACTCCTGACCTCAGGTGATCCGCCCACCTTAGCCTCCCAAAGTACTGGGATTACAGGTATGAGCTACCGTACCTGGCCTCACAACTACCACTTTTCTAAAGTTACTGCCAGAGAAACGTTAACTACATATAAACTGGAGTACAGGAACCCCAACAAAATGCGTTATACCCAGTATCATTAACCATATAACCTGCTGACACATGCACAGAATGTTAATCCTGTAAATAAGTCATACTTCACTGACCATGTTTCATCAATTCTAAGGTACACTTTTGCTTTTTGGTTTTTTTTTTTGTTTTTTGAAATGAAGTTTTGCTCTTGTTGCCCAGGCTGGAGTGCAATGGTGTGATCTTGGCTCACTGCAACCTCCGCCTCCTGGGTTCAAGCAATTCTCCTGCTTCAGCCTGAGTCGCTGGGATTACCCGCCACCACACCTAGCTAATCTTCACCCTCCCAAAGTGCTGGGATTATATGCATAAACCACTGCACACACCTAAGGCACACTTTTAAATGTCTGAAGTGGAAAGCATCCTTCACTGAGGTGGCAAAAAAACACCATGTCAGTAGGCACGGGGAGCATCTTTATCGGTATATCTAGCTAAGATCACTACTTCTGCCTATACTCTGGAAATGGAATAACACATTACTGAACATTTTAAGCCCACTGTTGAGATCCACTGCTCAGAAAAAGATTTATTTCAAAATATTACTGCTCATTGACAATGGACCTGGTCACTCAAGAGCTCTGACAGAGATGTACAAGAAGAAAAATGCTGTCTTCGTGACTGTTACCACCACACCCATTCTGCAGCTATGGATCCAAGAAGCAATCTTGATTTTCGAGTCGTCATTATTTAAGAAATACATTTTGTAAGGCTATAGCTGTAATAGTGATTCCTCTGATGAATCTGGGCAAAGTAAATTGAAAACCTTCTGGAAAGGAGTCGCCATTCTAGATGCCATTCATGATTCATGGAAGGAGGTCAAATATCAACACTTACAGGAATTTGGAAGAAGCTGAGTCTAACCCTTATGATGACTTAGAGGAGTTCAAGACTTCAGTGGAGGAAGGAACTGCAGATGTGGTGGAAATAATAAAGACTTGCTTCTCATGGATAAGCAAAGAAAGTGGCTTCTTGAGATGGAATCTATTCCTGGTGAAGACGCTGTGAACACTGCAGAAATGACTTAGAATATCCCATCAACTTAGTGGATAGCAGTAGCAGAGTTTGAGACAATAGCCTCCAAGTTTGAATTTCCACTGTGGTTAAAATGCTATCGAAACAGCATCACATGCTACAAATAAGTCTTTCATGAAAGGAAGAGTCCATCAATGCAGCAAACTTCACTGCTGCCTTATTTTAAGTCACTGACGCAGCCACCACCACCCTGATCAGTCAGCAGCCATCCACAGAGACAAGATTGTCCACATACAAAAAGAGTAGGACTCAGGAAAGGCTCAGATGATCTTTGGTATTTTTAACACTACAGTATGTTTTAATTAAGGGAACCACATTTTTATAGCTATAATGCTTGCTACTGCACACTTTAAATAGTATAGCGTAATTACAACTTTTACATGCACTAAAAAACCTAACACTGTGTTGTGTCACTTGCTTTACTGCCACACCGTTACCGTGGTGGTCTGGATTAGAACTCAGATTACCTGAGCTATGGCTGCGTCCAGAGAGGGCTCACAAATCACTCTATGCTAAGTCGGTCGCCCCGAGCGAGGAGAGGCTCGAGTCAGCCAGCCCGCCACCCTGCAAACGCACCTAGGACCGGACGCGCGAGCACCGCCGGCCGCCGCACGCAGCGGCTCCCGCCCCGCCTGGGCTCGGCGCGCCGGGAAGAACCCAGCAGCGGACCTCACTGCGGCCGGGCGCGAGGAAGGACGCCCGCCCCCGCGGAAACGCCGCCTCCTGCCGGGACGCGCCGACTCTCACCGCAGGAGTCCGAGGACCCTCGCCCGGCGGAGCCCCGCGGAGGCCGCCACCCCGCGCCCTCGGGCCTCCCGCCGCGCACCCGCCACCGGAACGCAGGCCCCGGCCCGCTCGCGGAGCCGCCGTCCCAGTAAGGCGCTTCGAGAGCCCCGAGGGCGAGCCAGGGCGGACTCCGGGTTCTTCCTCGTGAAGCGACTCGCGCACAAGCGTCGGCGCCGCGAGCTCCCCTCCCGAGGACCCGCCGCCACGGCGCGGGGGACAGAGGCCGCGCTCCCCCCGGTTCCCGGGACGCTGCGGCCGCTTCCCAAACCCCGCGGACGGCGCGCGGCCCCGGGCCGTTCCCGCGCGGCGCCCGGCTGAGGGCCGCGAATCCCGCCGCGACCACTGCCCCCGGGACCCGCGCGCTCGCCACGACCCAGGCAGGGGCCGGGGTCGCGGCCGCCATCTTCCTGCCCGCGCTGCGCGCGCCCCGCACCCCCCGAGCAGCCCCGCCGGCCCGGAGGACCCCGCAGAGGCCGAGGACCGGACCGGACCCGCCCCGCCCCGCCCCGCCCCGCCCCGCCCCCGCCCCCGCCCCCGCCCCCGCCCCCGGCCGGCTCCGCGCGCCCCCGCCCCGCCCCCGCCCCGCGCAGGGGCGCGCGCCGCGCTCCGAAAGGGACGGTTAGGGGCGCGCGCTTCGAGCGGGCCCAGCCGGCGGCGGCGGCGCCTTCCAGAAATTTCCGCGTCCCTCAACCCACACTGAGAAACCAACTGGGCGCGCCCCCGCGCCGGCTGTGCGGACGGCGCCCCCTCCCCCGCGGGAGCCGGGCTGCCGATCCCCTCCCCCACCCGCGCCCCCTCCCCGCCCCCTGCCCCGGGCGGCGGGTCAAGTGCGGGCCCTCCGGGGCAGCGCCGGCCCTCCAGACGCGGGCAGCAGCGGCGGCGGCGGGCGGCGGCCGCGGGCCGGTGTGATTGATAGGGACGGCGGCGGCGAGAGCGGCGGCGGCGGCGGCGGAGCGGTTGAGTGACAGCTTACCTGGGTGCCAATCTTCATCACACTGACAAGCGGCTGCAGCAATCGGGACCCGCAGTGCCGCGCCCGCGTCCAACCGTCACGCCGACGCTGGGCCACGCGACACAGCCTCGCTCAATGGGAGGAGGGCGACGCCGACGCGCGCCGCATCAATATTCAGAGAGGGGGCGGGGCTCACCCGAGACGGGCCCCGCCCCCCTGCGCTGCGGCGGGCGCGGGGCGGGGCATGTGCGCTGGGGGAGGAGAGCGAAGGCGGGGGCCGGGCGGCGGACGGCCCCGCCCCCAGCCCCGCCCGCACCCGGAGCCAGGCCCCGCCCCAACCTGCCGCGCCCTAGCGCGAGGAGCTGCCTACCCCGCCCCGAAGGCAGAGCTTCCCGCCTCATGACTATGCAGCAGGGGCGTGGTCTTGGCGCGCGCCACGCCCCCTCCGCGCGCTCCCTGCCGCCCGAAAGAGGTGTGCGAAGCCGGGAGAAACCATCTGCCTCGAGCAGGCGGGGAGAGAGGGTTGTACCATCCGTGGCCCCACCGCCGGGCGTCCGAACGCCGAAGGCCCCCACGCTGTGCGCCCCACCTTTAGGTGCCAGCCCGCAGCAGCCGTGCAGCCTTCCTCCCCAGGCTCCGGAGCGCGGGTGGGCATGGGCCTGGGTGGCACAGTGGATGCTCACATTCCTCCCTACCTGCGGGCAGCGGTGTGAGTGCCTGGCACCTGAGGCCTTACCCTGGGCGCTGTACCCCCTCGGTGTGAGGACCCCAGCAAGGACTCACGTTGTTCACAAGTGCTTCGGGCTGGTCTCTGGCCTACTTGCCTCACTTGAACACACCTTCCGGCCCAGGTGAGCCTTGCAGATCTAGGTGACCGATGCGGCCTCCCGGTATAGGGCACCTGCGTAGGGGACGCCGACAAGTGTCTGCATTTCAAGCTGTGCTTTGAAAGACTACCCTAACCGATCACTGCCAGCCACATGTACCCACACGTCCCGATCGTGGCTTTGCTCTGCAAAATGTACGGAAGATGCGACACATTCCCATTGCGTAGGAAAGCACACGGTTTGCCTGACTGGCCTCCAACACTGCAGAAACCTTCATCTATGCAGTGGCCCACCGGGCGCAATCAGTGCCCTGAGTCCGCACACAGCGGTGGAAGGGCAGCTCTGTGGGCCCCCACTCCTCCGGGAAGGCAGGCAGGCCCAGGACAGGAGCTGACTGCTGGAGGGAGCCGGGATAGGTCTAGGCATGAGCAGATCAGAGGACATCTATCCTGTGTCTTCAGAGCTCCACGCCGCCAGAAGGTCTTGGCCAAGTGCTGTGCAGCTGCAGAGCCGCCTGTTGCAGAAAGATGGAGGGCAGCAGGGCGGGCTAGAGGGAGGCCCTGAGATACTCGCCCGAGGAGGGAAATTCAAGGGCACAGAAAAAGCTCAGTATTCAAGACTAAGCATGATCTGCAGAGCCTCGTGCACGATGCAGGTGCAAGTGCCAAGAGGTGTGGGAACAGAGGGGCTCATGGGGGCTGGGCGAGCCAAAACTGAGACCTGCTGGGCTGCACCCCGGTGGATTCAGGCATCCTTAGTAATAGGATGAAACGGGGTCGCAAAGGAGCCTGCCGATAAAACAGGACGCAGTAAAGAAGCCAGCCAAATCCCACCGAAACCAAGATGGTGGAGAAAGTGACCTCTGGTCTTCCTAACTACTGATCATAAACTAATTGTAATACATTAGCTTGCTAAAACACACTCCCGCCAGCACCATGAGAGGTTACAAATGCTGCGGCAACATACCCTACATGGTCTAAAAGGGGCCAGGAACGGTGGCTCACACCTGTAATCCTAGAACTTTGGGAGGCCAAGGCGGGCAGATCAGCTTGAAGTCAGAAGTTGAAGACCAGTATGATCAATATGGTGAAACCCCATCTCTACTAAAAACACAAAACAATTAGCTGGGCGTGGTGGTGCATGCCTGTAGTCCCAGCTACTTGGGAGGCTGAGGCAGGAGAATGGCTTGAACCCGGGAAGCAGAGGTTGCAGTGAGCCGAGGTCATGCCATTGCACTCCAGCCTGGGCAACATAGTGAGACTTCATCTCAAATAAATAAATAAATGGAAGAAGAATCCTAAGTTCTGGGAATTCTCCACCCCTTTCCCAGAAAATTTATGAATAATCCACCCCTTGTTTAGCACATGATCAAGAAATAACCGTATAATTCAGGAACAGGATTCTAGGAAAAAAAAAAAAAGAAAACCGTAAAAGTAGCCAACCAGCAGCCCTTGAGGCTGCTCTGCCTGTGGAGTAGCCTTTCTTGTTTTTATTTACCTCTCTAATAAGCTGGCTTTCACTGTACTCTGTGGATTCTCCCTGAATTCTTTCTTGTGTAAATTCCAGGAACCCTCTCTTGGGGTCTGGATTGAGACCCCTTTCCAGCAGCACAAGGTCCCTGGCTCAGAAATTACAGTGAAGAATTTCAAGGCAGTGACAGCAGAAGCCAAGCCTGGGCCCTTCTCAGCAGGGGCAGGGGCCTTGTGACGTGCTGGTCAGGCCCCAGGAAGTGGCCGTGGACTCACTGGCCACACCTAGACCTGCCCGGATCTGAAGCTTTCATTTCTTTGCATCCAGCCTGTGAGACAGCAGGAGGTCCACAGAAGGACCTGAGTGCCTGGTCACCCAGGTCACTGGTAGGTGTGTCTCTTAGCATGCTAATCAAATATTATTAGCATATAATGAGCAGTGAGCACGACCAGAGGTCACTCTCGTCGCCCTCTTGGTTTTGGGGTTTGGCTGGCTTCTTCACTGCATGCCAGGTCTTTGTGACCTGTGTCTTGTGCCGACCTCCTATCTCACTCTGTGACTAAGAATGCCTTAACCTCCTAGGAATGCAGCCCAGAAGGTCTGAGTCTTATTTTGCCCAGTCCCTATTCAAGATGGAGTCGCTTTGGTTCCAGTGCCTCTGACAGAGGCACCATCAGTAATCGCCTCCTCTGGGATGGGCCAGGTTTGCTGGGCCCTGAGACTTGCATACTGTGAGGAGTCCTTAGGAAAGTGATTCACGGTTCGGTAGGTGTGGGGATCTCGAGGGGGTGGAGACTCATTGCTTCCTGTGAATCCACCTTTGCCTCCACCCACACCTGTGAGGCCACAGGGGGCTTCATCCAGGTGCTGAGCCCCAAAGCGGCTTCTAAAGAAAAAAAAAATAGGTACATTATAATTCAAATACCCAGCCATTCTGTCTGTTCTCTTTACAACATTTTTTTTCTTTTACCCAGTCCCATGGATAGGAATCAGGAAAAGCATGTTTTCTATAAGATTTGTTAATTTTTTTTTTTTTTTTAGAGCCTGTCGCCCAGGCTGACGGGATCACTGAAGCCTCTGCCTCCTGGGTTCAAGTGAGTCTCCTGCCTCAGCCTCCCAAGTAGCTCAGATTACAGGTGCCCGCCACCATGTCCAGCTAATTTTTTTTATTTTTACTAGAGGCAGGATTTCGCCATACTGGCCAGGCTGGTCTCCAACTGCTGACCTCAAGTGATCTGCCCACCTCGGCCTCCCAAAGTGCTGGAATTACGGATGTGAGCCACCATGCCCGGCCAGATTTATTAATATTTTTCTTGAAAAAATATGAAATAAAAAGGCACATATAATTGTTTATATAAATACATGACTAGGCCTAGCGCAGTGACTCACACCTGTAATCCCAGCACGCTGGGGGGCCAAGGCGGGCAGATCATTTGAGATCAAGAGTTCAAGACCAGCCTGAGCAACATGGTGAAACCCCACCTTTACTAAAAATACAAAAATTATCCAGGTGTGGTGGCAGGCACCTGTAATCCCAGCTAGTTGGGAGGCTAAGGCATGAGAATTGCTTGAACCTAGGTGAGGGAGGTTGCAGTTAGCCGAGATTGCACCACTGCACTCCAGCCTGGGGTACAGAGCAAGACTCTACCTCAAAAAAAAAGAAAAAAAAAAAAAAAAGAAATGTATGACTAGACTGGGTGTGGTGGCTCGTTCCTGTAATCCCAGCACTTTAAGAGGCTTGAGGCCAGGAGTTTGAGACCAGTGTGAGCAATATAGTGAGATTCACTACCTGCCCTGGTCTCTACAAAAGAAGAAAAAAAAAATTGAACTAGCCAGGTATGGTGGTGCACACCAGTAGTCCCAGCTACTCGGGAGGCTGAGCCAGGAGAATCACTCGAACCTGGGGAGGCAGAGGTTGCAGTGAGCCGAGATCACACCATTGCACTCCAACCCGAGTATTAGAGCAAGATCCCGTCTCAAAAAAAGAAAAAAAAAATACCAAAATTGGGCCAGGCGCGGTGGCTCACGCCTGTAATCCCAGCACTTTGGGAGGCCGAGGCAGGTGGATCATGAGGTCAAGAGATTGAGACCATCCTGGTTAACATGGTGAAACCCTGTCTCTACTAAAAATATAAAAAATTAGCTGGGCATGGTGGCACGTGCCTGTAATCCCAGCTACTTGGGAGGCTGAGGCAGGAGAATTGCCTGAACCCGGGAGGCGGAGGTTGCGGTGAGCCGAGATCGCGCCATTGCCCTCCAGCCTGGGTAACAAGAGCGAAACTCTGTCTCAAAAAAAGAAAAAAGAAAAAAGATACAAAAATTAACCAGACATTGTGGTGTGTGCCTGTAGTCCTAGCTACTCAGGAGGCTGAGGCAGGAAAATCACTTGAACCCAGGAGGAAGAGTTTGCAATGAGGCAGATCCTGCCACTGCACTCCAGCCTGGACCACAGAGCAAGATCCTGTCTCAAAAAAAAAAAAAAAAAAAGAACAAAAGAACAACAAAAAAACAAGGCAGGATATAGAGGGTTGGGACTTTCAGTGTCACCCCAACCCCCAGGGAGGAGAGAGAAAGAAAGAGACTGAAGTTAAAGTAGATCGCCAATGGTCAGTGATTTAACTAGTCATGCCTGGGTAACAAAGCCGCCATAAAACCCTAGAGGTAAAGGGTTTGAAGAGCGTCTGGATAGGTGAACACGTGGAGGCTTCTGAAGGTGGGACTTGGGAGAAGGCATTGACACTCCAAGCCCCTTCTCAGCGAGCGTCCGTATACTTTGTGATATCTGTTTTTGTTGTTTTTGGTTTTTTTAGACAGTCTCTGTCACCCAGGCTGGAGTGCAGTGGTGCCATCTCGGCTTACTGCAACTTCCACCTCCTGGG